TCCTTAACAGCAACCCAGTGTTGGGGGGGGGCGTTCTAGAGTTTTGCATGTACAGTATGGTTCATTGGTGAGGCACGGAAGCAACAGACTTGAGTGTTCACCAAGCTTGTCTGCATAGCTTGACTTGCCCTAGCCTTTCGCTGAAGCATCTCAAAAGGTTCTTGGTACGGCCAGGTCTTGTTTGGCACAAGTCCATCAGAAGTAAAGCTTCATGCATGCAAACCCGAAGAGTTTGAAACCTTGTTACAGGCGCAAGCAAGCGGAGTTTCACTTCGAGATGCCCTCATGGCGTCGAACGGTTGTAATGGCCGCAAAAGGCAGAGGCTCTTCCTGGAACCCTAACTATTTTCAGTTTAGCAGTGCTACACCTTACTTCGTACGTATAACCCATACCACTGAAGGTAGTTGGGGTTACTATTACTATCACTATTATTACTATTAATATTACTATTACTATTACTATTAGGGCTCTAGGGTTTCAAGAGTAGTCATGGCCTTCATGGTAGTTGAGGCATCCTTTAGAAGGATGGCACATTCTCTATCACCGCCCCACCCCAGGGCGCCTTGCCTGAACGAAGTACAGCCCAAACTCCAAATCCCTAAAAGGCTAGACGTGTAATTCCTAGACCACTTCACCTGTATACCCTAAGCCCCTAGTCTCTGCTCGCTAGACCTCACCTTTTGAAACTCCGCCCTGAAAAAGCTAGACCCAGGCGAGAAAAATGTCTACCTGCCCTTTGGCTCCGTTGGGAGGTGGGTCTGTGGGCTAGGGCGTGTAAGGGTCGAAGGGTTTAGGGTTTAGGGAAGCCTTCGGAGGGTTCCAAAGTCAGGGCAGGGCTTAGGGTTCAGGGTACAACCTTGAGACAGTAAGTAGAGGCCACAGGAGTCAGCTCTCGATTGAAACCATCAGATTCGGTTGCTCGCGTGGCAGGCATAGGACTATCAGCAAACATGATTCTCAGTTTTGTACCGTAGTAGACTGGATTAGTATGTCGAACATAACAACGCAAGTTCCTGCTTTCATTGCTTCGCAGTAGCTATCGAGTCTACGACTGCAGCTGCAAGAGTGTATAATCTGCGTTTCAAATCCAGTCGTTCAGATGCACATGATAGCCCTGTTTCCCACACAGTCAGGCTTAAATTCTGAAACCCAGCTCTGCAGATCGCTGCACAAAACCACACCAACCTCCAAAAAGAGTAAAGTGCATACATATGTTGCCACGTACAATGCTGCCATAAGGCATATTGAATGGATTCAGCAGTCTTTTGAAACGTGTGGCCCCATATGTATGTAATCTTAACCTGATGCTTATCTGCCCCTCCCGCTTCATCCTCACACCAAAAAGATCTCTCTCAAGATACTCCAACTATGAACCCCTACAGGGACCCCTTATAATCTCTTCACAATCCCATATACCTGAGTTAACCCACATGTTGAGCAATCCCCACATCTCTATCACACACGGCATGACGCCAGTGGCGGCTTAGCGCTTCTGTCGCAGCCATTGGTGCCGCGAAGCAACGCAGGGGCCTCCTTGTATTGTTTTTTGGTTCAGGGTTACAGTCCTGGGTGCAGCCGAATGACCATGGCCCATAGCTTTAAAGCAGAAAAGATATTCATACACAGCGACCGCATATAATCACTATTTCCATGTCATTTTCCATTTGATGTTCCATTATTGGGGTAATCTTTAATATTGCCCTTGTTTAGACACAATGACTGTGGCATAGGATAGTCCAGAGAGTTAGGGGGACAGTCCCGGAATGAGGACCATTTTTCGGTCCGGAGCTGTGAATCACATGAGATCGGAAGCTCTGCAGAGGGTTTCAACCATTTGTTTCGGTACAAATCACAGGACTTTGGGGGCTGTGTAGACATCTAGTCTCTTTGCCGGTCTCTTACGTCCCTAGCCCGTATATAATTCCAGTACCCTGAGCCTTATAAACCCTGAACCCTAATCCCTAAACCACTAATTTTCTAATCCCTAAACCCCAATCCCTAAACCACTAATCCCTAAATAGATAGCAACACGGAGTTCGAGCCCTGGGTCTTGCTAGCACTTGCTAGCCATTTCCAAGCAGAACTCAGACGGGTGGCCACGACGCAAACACGAAAGAGCCTGCATATCTCGAAGCCCAGTAACCTGCATCTTGGTAGTAATCATCTTTTAAGTAAGTAGTAGACATAACCCACAACACTGCAGGTAGTTAGGGTTTCAGGTTTTCTTGTGTTGGGGGACCATGTACATCCCCAGCTAAACACCCTGTAGTTCCTAAACCCCGAATCCTAAACCCGAATAAATCCTAAACCCTAAATCCTGAGGCATGAACCCTAAATCCTAAAACCTAAACCCTAAACCCTAAGTCATGAACCCAAAATCCTAAGCCCTTAACCCTATCGACCCTAGGTCTGCCCTGATGCAAAGCTAGCTTCGGGCGTCACCTTCGACTTGGTCATCGAGGATCCCGGTGATTCCTTCATCCTGCTGCTGCTTGAGGGGGAGTGAGGGAGTGAATATGGGGTTTAGGCTTTGTAGGGTTTTATAGGGTTTCTAGGGTATAGGATTTAGGGTTTGGTTTTAGGGTTACGGTTTGGGGTTTAGAGTTTAGGGTGGGGGAGTGAATATAGGTACCATGATACGTGTACACATGGGAGTTATGCAAGCAGGGATTATTCTACGGATGCATGTCCCCTCTCTCCCTTAAGCACCAGTACGTCATCCTTGGCCTAAACCGCTAAAGAGTTCGACGACTAGCAGAACTTCCCCCTGGGTCCTCAATAAATACTACCTACATTCGGCCCTAAAGTCTATTTTCCTACATTTTCGGTGGGGGCTTTAAGTCAATAAATCATCAACATACCTACATGGGGCCCTAAAGTCTATTTACCTGTATTGGGCTAGTTGGTGCCCTCGGATTCTCACCAGGCCATTACATCAACTTAGACTTCTTAGACCCAGAAACAAGCTTCGTGTAGCTGGGCAGTGAAGAGCGTCAATCCGCAGGCCTAAAAAGGTGCTAAAAATATGCTCCTCATCAAGCAGAGGGGAAACATGTTACATATATATATATATACAAACATCTAGGGCGGGATCTAGGGAAAGCAAGAGGATCCTCTTCTTGCAATATCGACGTCTTACCAGCTCAGCACGAAAAACGCAACCTACATGGCAAGACTTCAGCGTTGAACGGGAAACTTATCTGCTCAGAAAGCAGCGAGCAGGCGACATTAAATCCCCAATGAAGGCTGATACAGGAATTCTGGCTGAAGAAGCCATGTAGCGTCCATAGGGTTAACTGTCCGACAGGTTGTTTATTGCGATTGCCATGGCTCTCGGCTCATTGGGGCAGACAAATTTCAACAATTGGGGAGGCCTCCATGATGAATTGCAAAGGGTTGATTCGTTAAGCAACTCGCCTGGTTGCCTCACACCAGCGTGTGGCTCGACCAGTTTTGTCATGTGTTTCACAATCGGCATATGAGCTGTAGTCTAAACTCCTTAAAAGGGGGATCAATAGGATTCTATAGGGTAGTATCATTGGTTTTATTAAGGTAGCTCATATGTAGCAGAGCCCAGACACTGGTAACATAGCGGCAACGCCGCAGAAGAGACATCTTGAACAAATGCACCATGCTGGCTTATCAACACAGACTACCCTTACGGGCCCTAGCAATACATGTATACAAATTCGTATATATATATACTATAGAGTAAAGTGTTCAAGTAGTTTCGACGGGCCCTTCTTAAGATTCTGTAGGGAATGTATCCGGAAACCCTTTGCGCCCTAGACGCCTACTTACACATCCCCGCACTATTGTAGTTGTAGTAATCTGAATCTTGTACCCTTGAACCTGCGCCTTCGTGGGTTAGGAATCGAATGCCGATGAAATTTCGGCTTATAGCCTGTAGTTTTGGAGACGCTTTCATGTCGACACTGGTGGTGTGCTCAGATTGTCATCGCTGGACCAGCACTGCAGGTGTTCCTATTTGCGGTATCTGTCGCGTCAGCAGGGCTGTAAGAACTCTTCCTGGTGATTCACGTCTTACTACGGCCAACTACGATCTCATTCTTTCCATTTTGGAGCGAGGCTTGGGGGAAGTAAACAGTTGGCTGTCTATTCCTTTGGAGGAACCCTCATCACAAACAAGTTTGGATCATCCTGCTGAAGTGCGAGAGAGAAACCCGCCACAAACAGAGGAGGATTCATCAAGTTCGGGGCGGAAGGTAAAGAGCAAACGATCAAGCCGAGACATAGGTCGCCGCGAGGAACGTAAGGAGGCGAAAAGGCAACCGCCTACTCCTCCATCACCTCCCCGGCGCTCTCATTCACCCAGAAATCGTGAAGGTGTACTTACTGCTGCAAGCAAATCCAAATCCAGACCTGAAGTTTCGCAAGATTTCGTCTGGGGAAAGTCCCACAAGAAGAACAAGGGCAAAAAACATAGGGAACGAGGAATTGCATACCGGGAGCGCTGGAAGGAAACCGCAGGTCCAGAAGACAGGACTTGATGGCTCCAAGGCGGCGACCAGCAGCAGCACGGGCCGTGGCCAGAGCAGAAGCCAA